TCCCCAGCCGACCCCGGCACCCAGAAGTCCGGGACCTTCCCAGAGGTGTATCAATCTGTCACCCAGCCCTTAAGTCTTCCCTGACCCCAGATATGGGTGTAGCGGGGACAGCGACAGGTCTGTGTCCCCGGGTGGGAAGTTCTTTGTGTTCATTTGAGGTTATCAGCCCCAGGTTTAGGGGTGCCCCCTATGTTTGGAGGGGAAGGAAGGCACACTGGATTTCTATCACAGGTGATGGCAGCCATATCGTCTCAGGCTGGAAGCTGTGAAATGTGTGTGACCCTGTATTTTGTGGGGTCAGCCGTTTGGGAGCAGTGCAGGGTCAAGAAGAGGTGAGTACCCTGGAGGCTGGTCAGTGACCTTTATTGCGTGATTCTGAGGCGGGCTTAACCCGCCTCGAGAGATTTACTGTGGGAACTTCTGGCTCCGACGTTCCCCTCCTCCGGGTGCTGCTGACCTGCGGTGCTCCCTACTGGAGCCTCCTTCAGCCCTCGAAGGAGCCTCCAGGGCTCCGCCCACACCGGTAGGTGGGCCCAGCGGGTCGCAGGGTTCCCTAGAGGCCCGGAGGCATCCGATGGGACGCAACTGCGAGTCTAGGACCTGCGCGACCTACTGCGCTTCTTGCTGCGGGCTTCAATTAACTTCTGGGAACGGAGCTTGAAGGCAGCACGGGTCACCACATCGCGATCATCCTCCTCACTTTCCTCTTCATCTGCAGAGAGGCATGATGGGCGGAGAGGGTAAGAGATCGCTTCTTTCGCCCTTCCCAGACTTTACCACACCAAACACCTCCTCCTTGGCCTTGACCTAAGGCCACCTCGTGCCCCTCCCATCCATCCTCCTTTGGCATGTACTGACCAAAGAACTTGTCCTTGACAGGGGCAAGGGGCAGAAGGATGCGGGTGTTGAAGAGAGGCAGTTTTCCTTCTAATGAGCTCAGGAACTACAGGAGGCAGGAGAGAGGTGTGAGACTGCAGTGAAGCTCTGTTCCTCCTTCTCCCACCTTACTTCAAGATACTGCCTGAATTCCAGGTGAGATCACTGTCCACTCTGCTGCGTACCCTTTCCTAGCAGACCTACACTGTCACTCAAGCCTACTGCCTGGTCTCTGAGGCCCTCCCCAGAGGCCTCTCTAGAGCATCCGAGGTTCTCCAGTCCTGCCATCCGGGGTCCACCCAACCCCTGCTTCTCTTTTTTGGCTATGAAACTCACATCTCAATCCCCACTATTGCTCCTATCGCCGTCTGCTCTCTGGTTTTCCACCCTCCCCCAGCCTTGATTGTGCCGGCAGAGATTTCAGTACACCACCTCTCGCTCTGTGATGTGTCGCATCATCTCTGATATGTCGTGGCTCTCTAGTTGCCCTTGTAGTCTCAGCAGCTTTTCCTGGACAACCTCCAGCAGATCGGACAAGTAGTTCTCTGAGTCGGGGTCTAACTTCTTTCCTGACAGAACGCTATCATCCTGCAGTGGGGACCGGCTAAGTTACCTGAGAGATGCAGGGCCCCTGGGAGGGGACAGGCTTCACCCACGAGTGGGGCTTTTCCCAGGGCTGGGGAGTTCTGAGATAGAGTACACCCTCTAAAATTAAAGCCCCGCCTTGAAGGCAGAGCCTTTGGACTTGCTATACAAAGTATGGGGAGGTCTATTTGAGATTAATAACACAAGCTAGACCATTGTGAGGGTGGCTTTCTAAAGAAATGGCGCTCTTGCAGACAGGGTGGGACTTCCCTCGCCGGGGACTGCTTAAGTTTTGGGTTAGGGAGGATGGCTGGTTTTGAGCATGGAGTCAGTTTGAGGCTGAGCGAAAGAGAACTTCCCCAGGAATGTGGAACCTGGACAGTGATGCATGGCGTGGAACTTTCTTCCTTAAACAGAGCCTTGGGTTATGAGCAGGAGACAGGGTTAGGATCCTATGGCTTGTATGGAACCTTTACTCCATCTGCTCTGATGCTCTGGGAGGACGAGGGCAGGGCTTGCCAGGGATGGGGTAGAGCTTTCTGCGGGGCCTCCCAGGGACAGTGGCCATTAGGGCTGGAGCTTCTTGGGTGTGGCCTACCGGGAAGGCGGGTAGACCTTTACCAGGGCGGGGCCTACCACTATCACGTGGCTCAGTTTGTTGGCCAGATGCTCCAGGCCGTCCTTGGCCACCTGGAGGGTTCGCAAGGCGCGTTCCAGTTGCTGGTGGATGTCGTTGCGCCGCCGCTCCTCAGTCTTGAATGTCTCCTGCATCGTGTCGCGGAGCTTCCGCTGGCTGCCGGAAGCCAGGCGGTTCAGCAGCTACAGGCGGCTGATTCCAGAGCCCCCCAGGCCTCCCTCAGCCACTTGAGGCTCACCTAACTAGTGTGGCATCCCCTGAGTACTTGAGGTTCTCCAGCTCCCTCTGGAGCCGCTCTTTCTCCTCCTTCATCTTCACCAGCATCTGCTCGTTGTCCCTCTTGAGAGTCTCCAACTGCGTGAAGGTCTCATCCTGGGCCAGGAACCTTCGAAACACAGCCTGCGGGCCACCCATCCCTGGTCAGAGCATGGGCCAAGGGAGGCTGGAGGGCGGTCTGACTCTGTCTGTGTCACACAGCTATGTGTGAGGATTGTGTGGGTCAGTCTCCCGGCTGTTTCAAGGCTGTACTTTTCCCCACGCCTTTCCCTGCCTATATATGAGTTAGCTAAAATCAGCATGCGGAGGTAGAGCGGTGCTTTCAAAAGTCACTGTGCCCGCAAGTTCTGATTGGGTATCTGGCCAAATAGCACAAAGATGCTGGGCCTCTCTGGTGCAATCAGCCTTCCAGCCTTTTGTGTATGTGTGTGCCAAGGCACACATGTGGAAAGTGCTCTCAGGGCCCAGGGATGGAATTCAAGTTGTCAGGCTTGCGCATAATCATTTTTACCCACTAAGCCATCTCACCACTTCTGAAGGAGGGCCTCAGACTAGTAAATGCATGTACAGCTGACCTCACAGGTCAGAGCCCAGATTGCCTAGGGATAACCTCTTTGGAGGAGTAGCTGGGTGCAGAGAAACCAAACTGGAGAAACTAATTGGACAGGGTGTGTGTGTTCTAAGGCAGGATCAAGCACTGGAGGGAGATACACAGGGTCTTGGAAGACAGCATGGCTCCTAACAAGAGTGAGGGCATAACGAAGGGCTGGGATTCCATGGTTAGGGACAATATTGGGCAGTCTACTGTATCCTAGATCATTCCACACAGTGATGATCTTAGAAACAGAACCTGACAAATAAAACTCCCAGAACAGGCATACCAAAGAAGTCAGCACAGTGAGAGAATGGAAGGAAGTGAGGACTGATGTGGACAGCTCTACCAGAGCCGGAGCTGGGCAGGAGAAGACACCTTTAAGGGAAGAGGAGCCTGCCCCACTCCAGTGCAGGCCCAAGGCACTCACATGTGATTCAGCCACTCCAGTGGCATCCTTGACCTTGTCAAACATCATTTCCATCTGGTACATGCCCCAGCGACGCTTCAGCTCCTCCTCTTTGTGGCGTTGGTGGTCATGGACTGTATCTTCTGACTGAAGCAGTACATGCTCTCTGTGAGTCTGCTTAAGGGTAGAGGACAGTCAAAGCCACCATCAAAGTCAACTCTGGATAAGGGTTTGGGCTGGATGCCAGGAGAGGAGCCGTCTTAGCTTGGATTGTGGGGAACCGGACAAAGTTTTGTGACTAGGTACCATCATCCCTGTGGGAGTCACAGAGGTGGTCTCAGAACCAAGGTACGGAGGCAGAGTTCTAGAAGGAGTGGCCTCCGGAAAGAGTTGGGCTAGAGCCCCAGTCAGTTAGAACACCAGGGTCTGAATTAAATGGAGAAGGTTGGGTAGAGGATCAGACAGTCAGGGCAAGCCTGGAGGCCATGGCCTCAAGCAGGAAAGGAGGCAGAGGAGAGCCTGTGAGGAACCAAGTGCAGTGAGTGGAGACAGGGTTGGGAGGGGGCAGGGTGAGGCCATGTGTGAGGTGTAGGCAGGGCTCTGGGTCAGTGTGGAGGCAAGGCAGAGGCTGAGGCCTGTCTGGTTTGGGCTGCTGAAGCCCTGCACCTTTAGTGTGGGGTTAGGCAGAGGCTGAGGCCTGTCTGGTTTGGGCTACTGAAGCCCTGCACTTTAGTTTGCGCACCTTGCGCTCCATGCGCTCTGTCTGAAGTTTCTTCTCTTCTGCCCGTTTCTTGCAGTCAGTTATGTAGAATTCACGCTTCTTTCGGTCTCGGATTGCAGTCTCCTCCAGATATTGCAACTGGCTCTAGAAGGCAGGCAGGCAGGCAGGGGGCATCTGGTATCTATCCAGGATAGGAATGGAACAGCGGACCCCAGGCAACACAGCAACAGTACCATTGCTGGAGACTTAAAGACAACTGACTTCTGACTATAATTCCCTGAGCCTTTGGTGTTCCAGATGCTATTTTCTCTAAATTGAAACACTCCCTCATAGAGAGAGGGAGATTCAAGACTCAGGAAGTCCACGAAACTTCACAAGGCTCAAGAAACAAGCTTCACAAGGCCCTTCCCCGGTTAACATGGATGCGTGAGAAGACTGATGAGTAGAACTCTAGGGATGGGCTTTCCCATCAGTAACCCTCACCCATGCTCTGCAAGGATGTCAGAAGCCAGCCTTGGCGACCCCCCATGCCTAGCTAGTCGCCAGCTAGTCTAGCATCCCACCCCTCAGATTCCAAGACCTGGCCTGAGAAGCAACTAACACCTATCCCTTCCCCCACTTTCTTAGTTAGTGCCTGAGATAAACACAGGAGATTCCGGATACCTGCCTGAGAGCAATTAACATTCATTCCTCCCCCCACCTCCTTTTTCTCTGCTTCCCCCTTTTTCTTTAAAAGGCCCCTTGGTTTCAATAAACTAAGACCTTGACAAGACAAAAATCGCTTGGTCTCGCTTTTCTTTTCCGCCCATTATTTTCAGGCTTGATCCACTTCGGACCCACGAATTACTAGAGCCCCTCGGGCTGGGGCACACGGAAGCCCAATAAACTCTTTGTTCTCCAAGTTGGGCTCTGGTGGAAAGGTTGATGGTTTTTGTTTTTGTTTAACTTTGTAGCCTTGGCTGGCCTGGAACTTTCTATGTAGACCAGACTGGGCTGAAACTCAGAGATCTGCTTCTACCTCTGAGCACTGGTATTAAAGGCTTGTGTTAACACAGATAACAATGGTAGCTGTGAAGGACTGCCACCCTACTCCACCCTGGGGCAGGAAGACTACTAGTACCTTGGCAATGTCCCGGGCATTCAGGGCCTCTTGATTCACCACTTTCAGCTCTACTACCTCATGTTTGGTCTTCACCACCTCAGCCTCCATGGAGTCCAGTCGGTTCTCCAAGTTGAGACTCTCGTCCTGACACATGGAGAGAGGGAAAGCTTGTGACTGCTGTCCCTGGCCAGGTCTGCCCTCCTCACCTACCTCTCTCTCCAAAATGTCCCTACCTGGAGGTAAGACTTGAGCTGCAGGTACACATTGGTAATGTGCTCTGCTTCCTCTGCCTTCATCCGGGCCTTCTCCAGCCGGTTCTCCAGGTTGCGCATGGTCTAGGGGAACAGCAGGCTGGGCCAGGTTCCTTTCACCACCATCCATGCCTGCCCCAGGACCCCTTCAGCCCTCAGCAAGCCCCACCTTGGCCGCCTCTGTGTTGCCGTCTTGCACCTCTGCCAACTCCAGTTGGTGCATGCTGTGCTGTAGCTTCAGTTCCTGCAGCCGCTTCTGCCGCAGCGTTACCTGATATCGCAAGGCATTCAACTGGTTCACCTTATCCCTCAGCTGGTGTTCCAGGTGCTCCAGGGCCTGCTGCAGGGGAGCAGAGAGCAAAACCTCAGCTTACCCTCCCCAAGGACTTGAGTCCTGGTTCTCCTAGAAGCCTTTGTCTCTCTGGTCTCCTAGCTGGTTTCCAGGACCCTTGGCATCCATTTTCTCTCTCTCTCTCTCTCTCTCTCTCTCTCTCTCTCTGTGTGTGTGTGTGTGTGTGTGTGTGTGTGTGCAACAGGATGGCCATGGCTCTGAGCTATAGACCCAGCTCTCTTTCACCTTTTTTTTTTTTTTAAAGCCATGGTTTTATGTAGTCTAGACTGGCTTCAAATTGTGTGTCCATCCAGAGATAAACTTGAATTCCTGATCTTTCTGTCTCCACCTCCTGAGTGTTGGGATCATATTGGTGTACAACTGTACCATATTTAATGAGGCCCTGGAGAGATCAACCAGGGCTTTGGCTTGGTGTGTGTGTGTGTGTGTGTGTGTGTATGTGTGTGTGTGTGTGTGTAAGCACATGAGAGAGAGACAGAGAGACAGAGATAGAGACAGAGACACAGAGAGACAGAGAGAGCAGGTACCCCTATGTACATGGAGGTCAGAGGTCAATGTCTGGGATCTTTGTCTTTTGGTTTCCAGCTTTTTGATTTAGGCATGGTCTCTCACTTAGCCTGAGCTGATTGGATCACTGACTAGCTGTTGAGAGCTCTGGGGACTCTCCTCTCTCAGTCCCCTAGTCCTGGGATGACCTGCCGGCTCAGTTCAGTGACTTCCACCAGCAAGCACTGCCACCTGACATCTTACTTTTTATTTCTTTCACTTGTTGGGTGCATTTCCTAAAGGTCAGGCATGGGATCCCGCTCCAGGAGCGGTGCTTTTTTACTTTTTTCAGTTCGGACTGCTGGGTCCTTTTTCGATTTCGGGACAGCTGTGTCCCCTTCGGGGCCAGGCCCCTGGCAACTCCCACGGGCAGACGTGCATCCGTAGAAGAGCTTATTGCTGGTTTTCTACCTGCCTCACCCATGGGAAATGCATAGAGGAACCTTTCTGGTTTCATCCAACAAGCAGGTAAACAGACAAAAGCGGCT